GTGCACGCTGTACACGTGGCCAAGAGGACGGCGTGGCTGCAGTACTATACAGTACATTCCGTCGGCGCGCAGGCAGGCGAACCGGAAGAGCCAGTCATCCGCTTCTCTAGGAGAGAAGCGATTCCCCGTGCAGCCCGCTGGGAGGTTCGACGCACTGCCTAGACCGATCCCGTCGGCTAGGAATGTCAGGAGAAGTACCGCCAACGGTCCCGCCGAGCGAAGATCGCGCCGGTCCGTCAGCGCCACCTGCATTAGACGCGGCCACTGCGGCCGCAATTAGCGATATCGTCGCACAAAAGATCAACGAAGCCCTCGCCAACAGGGCTAATGATAACCCGTCTCCAGTCCTCCCGGGCCCGGCGTCTGCCCCCGACACGCGGGCCGATACCGCCGACACCACCGCCGTCGACAATCCCGCTGCGACTGGCGCTCCGACCGCCGATCTCGCCGCTCAAGCCGCCGCAAGAGCCGTCGAGGCCGCCGCTACACTCACCGGAGTTGAAAACCGCGATCAGGGACCTCCGGAGGACCCAGACGACGAAGACGCTGACTCGGACGACCCGAACGAAGCTCTATACGGCCCCCAGGCCTTCACTCCAAAGTGGTACGAGGCCCGCCGGGGTTCCGTCATCCGCCCGCGCTTCGAAGTCCCCGCGCGATTTGAGCCGAGCTACCCGGTTGGCTTCGAGCCGGAGAGCGTCGCGCACTTCAAGACCTTTTGCGCACCCGGAACTAGCGCAGGGAGAACTGAGGAGGCAGCCGGACTCTACGCATCCGCTGCGTACCTCACCCACGCCTCCAACACACTCACCCAGGCTGTTGAGGACCTCATCGAGTCCGTCGAGAAGATCCCTGAAGACGCCGACCCCGAGGCGATCCGTAAAATCCGCCAGGCAATCGTATCTCTATCCGACGCCCAGCTCTGCACCTTTGGAGTATACGAACTGGCTGCGTCCCGCTACGAGGTACTCGCCGGTAAACAAGGGGCCACCGGGGTCGCTGATCCGGAGGTTTTGTCGGCGTACATTGACGCCCCTGCCGCGTACAGTTCCGCAGGCCGCCAGGCCTTCCGTCGCCAGCAGGTGCAGGCAATCAAGTACGCCACCCAGCTCGCCGGTCGGCACAGGCGGAGGAGTCCGGCGGAAGCTGTTCAGCAGCTCCGGCAACCGGACGCCACCCCCAGAGCGAATCACCCCCGCAGTCGCGGCGGAGGAAAGGGAACTGGGAGAGGCGGAAGCCAGGGACGAGGGCGCAAATAGGAATGGTCCCACCGTCCGTGGGTGTGGGCCTGGCGTGGAGGGCTTGGAAGGAAGTCGGCGCGAGCGACTGGTTGGTGAGACAGTTGCGATTCGGACTGAAGCTCCCGTGGGTACGGAAGGTCCCTTACCAGCGGCCGAGGTCTTACCCGATGAACGTAGGAGAGCGCGAGTTCGCTTCGAAGGAGATATCGAGATGGATCGCGCTCGGTTTCGCGCGGAGGGCGACCCCGGGGGAGGGCCGCGACCTGAGGCGCCAAGGGCAGCTATTCCCGGCTTTCGTGACGGAGTCGGCAGGCAAGAGGAGGTTGGTGATCGACTACAAGAGGGCGAACGAGTGCATGGAGTCGAGAACGTTCCGCATGGACCAGCTGTCAGACTTGGCGGCAGTGCTGCGTCCTGGGGACTGTCTCTTCAAGGCCGACGTCAAAGACGCCTACTACCACCTCAGACTGAGGCGCGTGGACCAAGAGCGCTTGGCGTTCCTGATCGGGGACGAAGCATTCGTCCCGCTTTGCATGAACTGCGGCCTCGCCGTTGCGCCGTGGTTCTACACGAAGGCGATGAAGCCCGTCGTATCTTTTATTCGCTCGCTTGGACACCGCATCTTCTCGTACCTCGACGACTTCTTCGGCGCCGCCAAGTCGTCGAGGGGGTCCGCCACCGAGAAAAAGGACACCGAGCAACTGGGCTCGCTCATGCGGACACTGTTCCGCAAACTAGGACTACGGCTACACCCCGACAAATGCTTCTTCAGGGGGGAGAAGCGGTTGGAGGTACTCGGCATCGTCGTCGATACGTGCGCGCAGAAGTTCATGCTGTCCCCCGCCAAGCTCGCGAAGGTGGAGCTAGGCGCCCGTCGCGTCCTCCGATACGCATCCTCGCACCGCCGCTGCGTTCGCGCTCGCATGCTGCGCGGGTTCGCAGGACTGGCAAACTCCGTCTCGCCGGCCGTGGTGGACTCTCGACTCCGACTCCGAGAACTGTTCACGGCCCTCAGCGATTCGGGGAGGCCGGGATTCGCACCGGGTACAGTAGAGAAGGCCGAGAAAGGGGTTATCATACCTCCCTCAGAAAATTTGCTTCGCAGGCCACTCCGTGGGGCTCCTTGCGGAGGGCACCGATTTTCCCCCTCCAGGGGTCCGCCTCGCGATCCGCGCCTCTCGCACGCCGCAATTCGCGACCTCCAATGGTGGGCGAGTTTGAGCAAGAACGTACACGTGGAGAGGCACCTCTGGCCCGCGCCCGAAGTGTGCGTCTTCACGGACGCCAGCATGGCAGGCTGGGGAGCTGCATACCAACGCCCTCGAGCAGTTCGTCGGGTTTGCTCGGGGGCGACAGGTACAGCTCGTCACCGACTCGCTGGTCACGGCATACATCGTTCGGAACATGACAAGCCGCTCGCCGCCCCTCCACGCCAAGCTCCGACGACTGCGACGTCTGTGCGAGCATCACGGCGTCACACTGTCGACGCGGCACCTCCCGTCCGTTTTAAACTGCTGGGCCGATCGTCTTTCGCGCCGCCGCGAGAGCTTCGCCTGGGAACTACCGCCGGACGCTCAACTGCTCCTCGAGCGCCGCTTCCGTTCGCGTCTCACCCCACTCGACGGCAACGCGCTCCCAGAGTCGCGCAGACCGCCCGGAATCCCCGTCGTCGTACCCCGACCCGCGTTGCTCGGCGTTTGGGCGCGCGCTCTCGCTACCGCCGGTCGGGGAGTGATGATCGCTCCCGCGTGAACGGGGCAGCAGTGGTATCAAACAGCTCGCGCCTCGGCGAGCGTTCACCAAATACCGTGCCTGACCCCGCCGTGGAGCTCTGTCGCCTTCAGGTTCAAGCAGCGCAACGCTGGCGTACACAGGGGACTATAGGCGCCACCAGTTTACTCGGGGAGTTAACTGGATCCCGCGTAGCGGCACACCTTCTTGGGCGGACACTGTCACGCAGTACCCAAGGGGGCTACCAACGGCATTGGGAGTCTTTTGTTCTGTATTGCCAATGCTGTTCGCAGCCCGCGCTCCCTGCCGCCCCGCGCACCATCTCATGCTACATAGGGACGATATACGATCGCGGGACGGTGCGAGGTAGTTCGTTGCGCCCCTACATCGCAGTAATCGGAGCACAACATCGCCGGTTGGGCCTGACAGACCCCACCGCTCATCCGCTCGTTCAGGCTACGCCACGTGGCTTCTTGGCACAGGACGCCCGCCGGACTACTGGTCCACCCTCTCGATCGGCCCCACTTCCTGCTGCGCTCGCCGCTCAAGGCCTATACCGTGCCCTGACCGCCGCCTCACACCAAGAACTGCAGCGTTGGGGATTGGTCGCCTTGGGCTTTGTAATTTGCGGGCGCCCTACGAGCATCCGCAATTTACGGCGTGGCGACATTCAGCTACTCGATCCGGCAGCCGTTACGCTACAGATGTTGGTCTTCAAATATGGAGAGACTGGTGCAGCGCCCCGTATTGCACTACGCATACCCTCTACTGGTATAAGCGACCCTGTCATTGTGCTACTGCAGAAGTTGGTCGCCGCCGCACCGCGCGATAACTCATTCCTATTCCCAAGCAGTGGGCCTATACTATCGGAACCGGCATCCGCCTCCTCTTTATCGGCGACGTTACGGGAGCTGACTCAACGTACCCCTCCACCTGCCGGAACGAAATTCACACCTCGATCTCTTCGAAGTGGGGGAATCTCAGCCGCCTATGCGGCCGGTGTTCCGCTTCCAGTCATCATGCGCCTGGCTAACCACCACACTGAAGATGTGGTGCATCGCCATTATCTTGACGCGCTCACTAGCGTCACACCTGCTGCACGGTTGTTTTTTGCGCGCTTCACGCGCAATGCTGGGCATCCGCCCAGTCTCGCGTAATTGGCAACAACAGCGCAGGGGTCATGATTACGGTCAGGTATCCACGGATCACCATGTAATGACCTACGCCGCGCGATGCCTGCGCGCCTGCTCTTGGACACGAGTGCACGCTGTACACTTGGCCAAGAGGACGGCGTGGCTGCAGTACTATACAGTACATTCCGTCGGCGCGCAGGCAGGCGAACCGGAAGAGCCAGTCATCCGCTTCTCTACCCTCCCTTCCCTTCTCTCGCGGCTGCGCTGGCAGCCATTATCCGCTCTGTTGGTGTGTTAGGCCCATTAGGGGCGTAACACGTAGAATATTCGACCCTCGATACCACAATAGACGTAGAATATTCGACCCTCGATACCACAATAGTTCAAGTTATTCAATTTACTTCTCCTGAATAAAATGATGTGTCACGAGGCAACAACAGCGCAGGGGTCATGATTACAATAGTGTCTGTTCCGCATGAAGAAAACGCGCTAATCAGTTTGATCAGAATTATAAATATTTTTCCAAGCGTTGTTGCAGAGCGGCTGCAGGATCACTGCCGAAGAACTGACATTGTGCATGTGAAAGGGAGCAAAGTTGCTCATCTTGGATAAATTTTGCTATTATTTTGGTTGTTCAGTTGTGGGGGGCCTGTTCAGTTTAGGGGGGTACCCACGTTCTTCCACGCAGTGCTCCATAAGAATCTCATTACAGTGGAAGGTGATGATAGAGCGATGAACGGATCCCTTGTTGCTGTTCACAGCATGAAGTTTTCGAAAAAAAGGGTAACTGTAATGTCTGTACAGCAGGTACTGCGTACAGTACCCTAAAGGTACCGTTGGTACCAATGGTATAGTACATCCGGTACATTACTGTATACAGGAGCCGACTGTTGGACTATGGGATATTCCTTACAGAACTCTCGTAGAAAATGCCACTTGAGGGTTGCGTAGGCGACATCGGCGACATGTCCCGTTGCTTTGGTGCCTGCGCACAACATCCTTCCTGTTTCCCTATGACCACTTCTCGTCTGAAGGCTCTGACAACGACGTCGTCTTCAGGAGAGGAGGAGTGCTGATCCGCTCTCAAGCGACGCGCCCGTCCGCGTGTGATGACGGACGTCATCTTACCACATGCAGAATCGGAGAAGCGGGACATCCGCCCCGTTCGCATCGGCTTGCCGGGCGGCACAGTCCATGAGTTTGAGCTTGATGTATCCCAGCCTGTCTCTACCGTCGTTTCACGCATCTTGGAAAAGGAGAAGCTCGACCCAGCTTTGGTTCGCATTAGAATTATCAGCTCGGGAAAGCTTGTTCGCGACCATGACATTCCACTTGCAGAGATACTCACGGAAGGCTCCTTTCTACACGCCGCTGTGTCAGAGCGACCGCGACCGTCGCACCGCCAGGGTACGGAAGGCACGGAAGAAACGACCAGTGGAACTGGTGAACGAGGCGATGACGATCCCTCCCTAATGCTTTCTACTGTTGATGTCAACGGTGACGTGAGAATAATTATCCCAAATCTTACGCCGAGGGGTTTCCAGAGACTATCTTTAGCAGGCTTTAGTGACGATGAAATCAGACTGATCCAGCGACAATTCCGGCTCATGCGGCGAGAAGCAAATGCAAGAAGCGATAGTGGGGAGGAGGATGATGACTGGCTTCGAGAAGTTGTGGAAGGAGAACGCCAAGCGTCAGTTGCGGGGGAAGAGGAAGTTACCAGGATACGGATACAGCAGCCAGACCACCGCAATTTGTTGAGTTCCGGCGCAGAGGGCACCAATGGCGACTTTCTTATGGGTTGCATTTTCGGTTACCTCCTAGGCGTCATAGTTCTTGTCCTACTACTCGACAGTAACGCAACGCGGAGGTGGCGCGTGGGAATCATAGCTGGTGTTGCAACCAACTGCGCGTTTGGCATCCTCAGAACGAGTTTATTCCTACGAGGGTCTATCTCTGCTGCGCCGTAGTAACATACTCAGTATTGCTCATGCCGCGGCAGTGCTTCGGTTCCTTTCTCTTGTTTACACCACTCAGTACGAGCTATCGTTTATCAGCAGGGTATAGAGCTCACTGCCCTGTTTGCTAACTTCAGTATCTTCCTTGTACAGCCATACTTTCCACTGCTGATCTTGTAACAAGTTGGAGCAATATGTATCATCAAAAGACTCAAGCAGCAGCTAACGATACTGTTGCTCTCATCAGTCTTGCAACTTCTGGGAGACAGCCAAGTTTCGCGAACTCACCATTATCAAACGCACCTCTTGAAATGACTTCTGCTATCGCAGACTCTCTCAGACCTATTCGTACCGCGGCCCGGTACAGAGCTGTGCTTCTCAGCGTTTTTCGCGTTTCCATGTCGTTTGCAGTACCAAGACCCTTGACAAGAAGTACCCACAGATCCCTTTGGCGCTCAACACAGCTATACCACACGTAGTCCAGCGTCTTTTGTGCATCACTCGAAGCGACGTCAGAATACTGCAGAGCTTCAATAGCCATCGCAACTTGGTCAGAAAGCCTTTCGCTTTCCGTTGCTGAGTTGTCCATGAGCTCTCGAATGACTACGTCGCAAGGTCGTAGGGTGCCTGCGTTGGGTTCCAGTTCGGCCTGAAGATTGGTATGCAGCAGCTTCCCAGATATGTAGTCGAAGTTAGATGCAGTCTCACTAAATCGATCCTGCACACCACCGGCCGTCACTTTCAAAGCAAGTTTCGCTATACTGCTTAGTACGGCTGTATTTATGGCTGACCCCTCCTTTCCCGGCACCGCAACTCTCTGCGTTTGGGAGACCAAGCAAGACGAGGCCGCCCCGTAATCCCCCTGCGAGATGTAGTGGATCCATGACAAGTTCGACAGTCTTCCGCGTTCTGTTGCGAAGTATTCCGACAAAAGAGTGTTAAGTCTTTCAGAACGACTGAAATGCGCGTCTCTGACGCTTTGCTGACTACCGCACCCTTGTAACAAGAGGTGAATATGTCCGCGATCTTCAAGCCACTGGAATGAAAACAGTCCAAACTCCTCCCCAAACTTTTCAAGTCCCTCTTCCATGAATTTGTCGAAATCAGGTGAAGATATTTTTAGAGCAAGCATGGTGCCGTAATCGCCATACTTTTCTGCGAGTAGGAACGCTTCATCTCCCATCCCGCTGTTGCGAAGCATATCTAACGCAGACCGGACTTCTTTTCCACGAGCCGTGTTTTCAAAGACGAGATCGGTTCGTCGTCGCTTCTGGGGCTTTGATTCTCCCCATCGGCGGCCTTGCTCCTTAGAGCGGTCATTCCAACGACCGTGCTCGAGAGTTCGAGACAAGAGCTCGTCGACGACAAAAACTGCCGCGTTCATCACCAGGGATTCGTCTGATTGTCGGCTCCTAGCACCAATTAACAAGGCTTTCTGCGCAATCTTCATCAGCGTGTTCCCACAAGTTCTAGAGTCAGACATCCAGTTGCCAATTCCATCCATTCCGGTAGGCATGGCCTCGAACAACTCGTCCGCTTCGGCACGTGCCTCTTTTGCTCCTTGTACGGTTTCAATTGCCGCCTCACAACTGAGAAGAACTGTAGTTTCGGCTGCACGCCTATACGCTTTCCAACTGCCCGCTGTAGTGTCACCAGCCATATCCTGCTCCGTCTGCATCCTGGAAATAGACTCGGACATGCAGCGCTCCAACGCAGGTAGAAATCGGTGAAATTCGTACGGATACCGATATAATCTTGTCGCGGCCTCATCTTGAAGTCCATCTTTTGTTTGTTCCGACGCCTGGGTACCGCCAAGCAAAAGAGCCGACTTCAACACGTCTTGACCATAGGTTATCGTTTCCTCGTTCTCTACGTTGTCCCGCCTTGTCCTCGAAAGGATATCACTTACAGCTCTCTCGCTTCCGATTCCCGCCCGTGATGTTGCATCATTGAAGCGATAGCAGTATCCTCCTGCCGCATGCCGATTTTCTAGATCTCGGACGCGACGAGCAGCGGCGAGTTTTTCCCCGTCCGTAATTACCTCGAACCTCGATTGTACCGTGATAGCATCCCAAATGCGGTCTTCTGTGACTGACGGAGAGTCAGGCCTAATACCTGAGAAGATTTCAGAATCTGCGAGGAACGTCAGAAAGATCCTGTGCTGCCCAGATTTCTTCTCCAGCTCCGTGTCGATCAGCAAAGTCAAGGGAGCAGACTCGGGATCGTGATCTGAAACTATAATCTTTCTGCTTATCAGTAACACGAGTGCGCTGAGAGATTCGGACACATCAAACCCTTCTGCTCTAAGCGATTTCACTAACCCTCGCAAACTCGCTTTGGCTGCCCCCTTTTGGTCTGCGGAGTACTGTAGCAGGCTCCTCCAAAGATCAGGAACAGCTGCGGAAACGGACGCCAACCCCGCCAGTGGCACATCCTCATCCAAGCTGATCGGGGCGGGAACGGACGAGGAAACAAGCCAAACGCCACCAGAATGAATAAACGCGGCAATACCTCCAGTTGCCGATGATTCTGGAAGTCCATAAGACGCATCAACCATGCTTAAGACCTTCAAGTCAGAATCGACAGTGGTGCTTCCCTGTACCTGTCCTTCTGATGGAATCCCTCTGGCCACGGAAAGCCATGCCATGGTCTTCTTCCCCTCAACGTAAAAGTACGCTATGTCCCCTGAGACGACCATCAGACACTGAGAGTCCGGGTCAACATGATCATCATTGAGCGGAACTACCATTTCGGTTCGTCTTGGAATCGAGTTGCTAGAACGCACGTCAAAACAAACAATCTTGTGTCCCATGCCGGCCTCTGAACGACTCTGTACTAAAAGAACTGCGGTATCATGAGTAGTCATCCCTGCGCTCAATACGGACCGCCTGGAATCGCGCCCTCCTTCAAAATCGAAAACACTAAAACTCCAGAGCCTACCCTCCGGTCCCCATCTCTCGACATCGCCAGCCCTTCTCACGATAATAACCCCCGGTTGACCTGTCGTCGGGGAACAGGCGACAATTTGGTGCGGTCCGCTTCCATTCTCCCAATCGTCATCTCGACCGCCGGCGACCGCGCCGATGGACTTGATTGCAGAGTAAAACATGGCACCGAATCTGATGGACCCTGTGTCCGCATCGCTTGAACGAGGTAACGGGTGTACTTCAAGTCTTCCGCCACGGTCACGAACAATTGCAGCAGATCCACGGCCGCCGAATATGTACAAGGATCCATCGGTGGAGCGGCACACGTTGAGAGCTGGTGGAGCGGAATCATCGCTTACGCTTGAAGCCAAAGCCGAACCCAAGCGGACTTGTTCAGCACGTGGGCGGGACCGCGAGCGGACATCTACAGAGTTGTATACGCGTAGGGTTCCATCGCGGGTCAATGCGGCAACGGCGACGGAGGTTAAGGTATCAGTTCGCTGCGACAAGGTCCAAGTGGCGAGCGATGGTGGATGCGGATCTTGGTGAGATTGGAGAGGAATGGAGACGGAATCTAAAGCAGAGCCAACGGCTATCGCGAAAACTAGGGCATGAGAGGAGTTGGCAGATGCGATCACGGCATAGCCGGCGACTGCAGAGCAAGATGGAGCGGAGTCCGAAGGGAGCGAGGACATAAGGTCTTCAACCTCTGCTGGGAAATCGGTTTCCGCAAATCGCGCTGAGGCCGCCATGACGACTGATGAAGGTGTCTCGGGGAATCCAGTGAAGCAACCTAAATCCCGGACGAGGAGGGAGCGTGGACAAGGCGTAAGAGGACGGAATGCCTTGATTCTCTTTCAGTCCGTCTTGAGGGTAATTTCTTGAGCCAGGTCAAAACGGATCAATATCTTCGTCTTCATAACTATGCCCATTCACCCTTTTAATTTAAAATTTTCACAACACACACGGGATACTGTCGATCTACAGTATGTTTATTGGACAGTTGTCCTCATGCTGTACAGTGTGAGGACAGTTTTTGACATATTTTTTTCTTGACTTGCACTTTCTCAATAAGAAAGAAAAGGGTACCCCCGCAACCGAACTTGACTTTTGCCATGAGACTAAAAAGAACTTTGTGAGAACTGCATGTTTTTCCTGGTCGTTTTTAGATATGTCTAGAAAAGAAACTTTTTTAAAATCACCTTAAAACCGCATGTAAAATAACTTCGAAACCAAAAACGTCAGTTTAAAAGGGGAAGTAGGTGCTCAATCTGCACTAAATTCTTAATCTTCCGGCTTGTTCAGAGCTGCTATCCCAGTGTTCTGCAAGATGTTATTGCCGAAAACAAGCACGTCAAGGAAATAGTGTCCAAGACAGCTTTTAAATAATCAATTTAATTTATATGTTTTTGCAAAACAAGAGCTGTCCTCATATGAGGACAAGCCCCGGTCTGATAGACATTACAGTAGTTTTTGTACACGTGTGTCTGTAATGCATTGAGGAATTCAGAGCTCTTCTGTGCACAGAAAGGGCGCACTTGAACATTTATACAAAAACAACGAACTTCGAAGGTATTACCGGTAAAAATTTATCGCACTTACATGAATCCCGAATCGGAATTCTGTCATGTCGGGATTTCCGACATGACAAACAATATGACCAATTAACACCGAGAAAAAGCCCAGGTTTCGAAACAAGAAAAGCATACTTTGCCGCATAAAGTATCATTGCTGGATCCGGTTTTGCCGGGGCAACAACGTTGGGTGCCTTGTTGGTTAGGGAGCACACAAGTTTTTCAAAAACGACGAGGGCGGCGCAAATCGCCCACGGGCGGTTCCAACAGCAACATGACAGACCATCACCTAAATTCCCGCCAAACTTTGCCGCGACATCGGAATCCATGCACCCGTTCTCTCCCCCATGGCCAATGAGTCGTGGCTCACTATCCCATCACTTCAAGACTCAACTCTCTCCTGCCAACTCGTCCTTCTCTCAGGGTTCACCGCCCCTCTGTCTGCGCCTTCTGCTAGCGATACGTCCATACGAGCCGAAACATGGCTCCCCGCCGCCCAAGCTCGCGGATCCGACCCACCCCAGACCGGTATGTCCCGCCTATCCGCTCAACCACTCCGCCTTTGCGCTATCGTTTTGTACTGACATGTGAACTCCTGCCTTTCTTCATACAGCAAGCAGCGGTCGATTACCAGTTTTTTCGCCCCCCATTCATCTTCCTGGGTCTCTGCGCGTCCGTCCGCCTCTTCGTCAATGGCATCGGAGCGTGCTCGCCCAACGGCTTCGAAAACTGAACACCTCGCGGAGAAACACACGCGAGCACCTTCGCAGTCAAACCCAGACAACAACGCTTCGCGTGCTGCAGAAGGGCTAACGCACATTGACCTGCTATCTACAAATTCAGCTCCTGGTCCGCCTCGAAGTGCTTCTGACTCCAAGAAGGAGAAATACGAGACGCACGTGCAAACGATTCCGGGCAGTGGCAGAATTCGCGTATCGCAAGTCGCTGATAATGGCCTTAGCCACAAAATGGAAGTTGATTCATCGGAAGCGCCACCGCCTCGCAAGTCGCGGCTAAACGACAAAGAGCGAGACCTCCGCACTCACCTCAGGGGTCTGCAGGACCCTTCCCAGACGAAAGCTGCGATCAAATCCCCCTTGAAGCGACCCAAATCAGATCAGCCATCCGCGTCTCCTAAGCGAATGAGGACCCAGGACAATACTAGTGCCAGGGAGGGTGTTCTTACCCCTGCCGCACTTGTGACCTCTGGTGTTAGGTGTGGATCAGATGACGATGAGTCCACTCCCTCAGGCTTGAAGAGTGGCCCATCACCAGTAGGCACCACCGCATCTGATGAAGACGATGATTCCGACGACGAGGATACATACGCTGAGCTGCGTAAGTACAAGCAGACTCAAACTTCCCGCAGGTCTTCTCGTCTGGGGAAGGAAACTGTTCGTTTTGACCCAGCTTCGGATCGCATGTTCGCAATAGGGTCAAGTGTTTTCGGTGGCTCCTTGTTCGGAGAGCGGATATCGTCCAAATCGACCACAACAACGTTGCGGGCCATCATGAGGGAACGGAGCGCCCGTGAACGCCAGCAAGAGCACATTGCTCAAGTACGAGAGAACATGGCTGACGAGAAGAACACATTAACCGAGAAGGAGGCCGTTTTCGACACAATGGCTAGGGAAGAACAACGAAGAGAGGCGAAGAGGGTCGCCGACCTGGACAAATTCTCCGCCCCAATCCCACTTTTCACAACTGCTGCCACTCTTCCAGACGTCAAAAACAAGTACATGCGCAAGCAATCGGGTCAAATTTCTTGGCATTCGCTGCATCACATGGCCTTAGAGATTCTAAGGGCTGGCCGCGATGGCGACAGAGCTCTACCTCTGCTTAAGCCTATAGTAGACATGAGCTGCCGTGAAGGAAGTCCAAAGCGCTTGTTCGGAATGGCAGACCTAATTTTTCATTTGCTCATCTATGATGAAACGATATGCAAGGCAGGAGGAACTTCTCGGGATTCCTTGATGAGCAGCTTGGTGGCATTGTGCGAAAAAAAGCTCGTGGACTCTGGTCAGGGACGACTGCCTACTCTGGTGTCTATCCTCGAGTCATATGGGGCCTTCTTCGAGGATTCAGGAGTTCCTGAAGTATATACGATGAGAACAGCATCTACTGATTCGTTGGAAGCATCGATGGGCTCGGAGGATGTCAACTATTTATCCGAACTGACTGTTAAAGCAACAAGAAACTTGAAGAGAGCCTTCATTTATGCTGCCTCAAGAGTTCGACTCAATGACAAGCTTCATCGAATCATTAGTCGGAAGATATACAAGCAGGACCGTGAAAAGTCAATCCTGTACACACTGGGTGTTTGCGTGCGAGTTTTGTTGAGCGTATTCGGGGCTCGACTCGCCACAGAAGTTGGGTACTTGGTTGCCGCAGTGCTTTCCCGTGTAAACGAAAAGCATTGGGCTTCATTTCGAAGGACAGCGGCAAAGTACATTCTGTCTATCACTACACGTCTGGGGCTTCACGTTGAGCTCGTAGCCCATCTCTTGCCGTACCATACAGACAGAGCGCGATCTCTCGCACTTGACGTTGGATTTCTATCGTTGATGCAATGGTCCTGCGGTCCGGGTGATTCTCCAAAAACAAGAGAGATTCATGCTTGGGAACCTAGCTCGAGCGCGAAAGCTGCTGGGGTCGGGGTGATTTCATTCTGCCTCGCTGATCTGGCTGATTTGGCAAAGCACATTCCGGACTTTCAGAAAACGACAAATGTTGAGTGGGCATGTGGCATTGCAAGAATGCTGAAGCAAATTCTAGCGGACCAGACTACGCTAGAGCGACGAGATAACGGTGAGCTGAACGCAATTCATCAGTCTTTGACAAAACTCCGATCTTGCGCACACCGTCTAGAGTTCGGGCTTGCCGTGCAAGAAATGCGACTTGCCCTGGATGCGTTGCTGCTTGCACTTCGCGAGTTGGTGGGAAAGACAAGATCGGGAATATCTGAAATATCTCCAAAAGCCCGCTTTGAGAAAGTGCAAACTCATCTGTAGACATGGCAGAAGAATCGCGCAGCCAATTCGAACATACGATCTGGTTTACTATTTTATGCCTTGCCCACTACTGCAGTATAGAGGGCGCTATTTATACAGTAACAATCGTGACAGACACGCATGTCGCAGCAGAGGGCAACCAATGTCGCAATGCTGTCGCACATACCGTAAGAAGGTACAGCATTGATGCGTTGTGGTACAGTACATGCAGAATGGTAGAGCAATTATGTTACAGCGGTGGAAAAGATTGTAAAACACCCCCCTAAAACCAGGCATTGCTGGACAGAGATACAGTGGTGGCAATAATACGGTAACAATGCAGAGGCAAGGGGAGAGGCCGCAGCCCCTGAATACAGTAATGGGAGCGCCCACTACCGTAGCGGCCGTGTGTCTCATTGAGGGCATAGCAAACTTCACAAACAATAAAAAATACCCGCCCCCGCACAACTTGAAGCCACGTTAAGCGCTTAAGCCTCGCGAGAAGCAAACCCCGGTTGCAACTGTCAAGCAGATCAATTCGTTCTACCCAAGCACAATCGCCCTTTGAGACCTGACGTGCGGTATGCTAAGAACATGGCTTCATGTACAGTGCAGTATCCCATCTCCATTCGATGCACAAAAGGACTCTTCCACGGAATGTCTCTCATTGCTATTCTCTCAACCCGCGTGCGATGAGAAGGTCGTATAAAAGTGCTCCTATCGGAGCTCCGATCTTAGGACCTACAATGTACACCCAAAAGCCATTGCGCGGGCCAGGGATGGCAATCTTTCCCCAGCCGGCCATGGCGGCGACCAGTCGGGGTCCAAAGTCGCGGGCAGGGTTCCATCCAGCTTGCGTGAGCGGCGCGTACAGTGTTATCAGCACGGCGACAGTGAAGCCGATGTAAAATGGGAGCATTTCCTTGTTCTGGATAATTTTTTGTCGTGAATCTGTCAAGGCGAGAATAACAAACATCAATATACCAGTTCCCCATGCCTCCACGAACATAGCAAACGCTGGCGAGACAACTTCCGGAGAAATTATGGTCGGCCCGAGCCCAGGATCGGGAAAGTACTCGCCAAAGGCGCGCGCGGTGAGGACGCTTTCTGCCGAGCCGCGAACAATTCCCCCTTGTTGTTCATGGTAGCGAAACAGCGGACCATAGATCATGAGATTGAAGGCGCCCCCAAGGACACCGCCGAGATATTGGGCGCACCAGTACGGAATGAGCTTGCGGAACGAAAAGTCATTGGGCCGGAACAGAGCCATGGCTAGGGAAACGGCAGGGTTGAGATGGGCGCCGGAGACGCTTGCGGTGGCGAGGATAGCGAGAGCGACGCCGAATCCCCAGACAGTGGCTATCTGCCACAGACCACTGCTGGTGTTTGTGAGGATGGCCACGCACACGGAGCCGACTCCGAAGACCACGATAAACATGGTGCCGATGCACTCTGCGACGCACTGGTGCAAGAGGGCGGCGGTGCGGGTGTGAATTGTTCCCTTTCGATGTCCTTGTCGATCGCCTGTGATATAGGCGAGGAGACGCCTGTGCAGATTGGGACGGGTCTCGGGCTGGAAGTCATCGGGCTGGAAGTCGTCGGGCGCCATGAGGACGTTGTGCTCCTCGAAGGGGGTGACGTGGTAGCGGATGACCATTAGGGGGGTTTCGAACTCCGCGACTTTTGCGCGGACGGTGAGAGTATCAGTGTGCTCGTCTGTGGAGACGTGGTCAGACCGCGGGACGTCGCACTCCATGGTGCCCTGGAGGGTGTCGCAGCGGCAGTCAACCTTGTCGTCGGGGCCAAAGTCGCAGACTGCATTGTCGAGGCTGTTGTGGTAACGGGCGAAGACGTCGCGGAAGCCCGCCAAACGGATAAGCTGGGGGGCGCCGGCTTCGACTCGGAAATGGGAGGGGTTGGTGGGGGGTGCGTGGTCTACAGGGTGGACAGGTAATGAGAGTTCAGAGATGGACTTGGAAGGGACTAAGTCTGGGGATGCCATAATGAAGGATAGAGAACAGACAAGCAGATAGTGGTTGGGACGGAGATGTGTAGCAGGGGCAGGAAGTGCAGGGGGAAGCAAAGTAGAGCAACAGCAAAGTGTTTGTGCAGAGGTCGAATGGGTTGTGCTCGTACAAGAGGCAGATACGCGAATTGCGGGGGCCCTCTGTGGTACACGTGTTGAATGTGTAACGGCTTCGGAGATTCGGGAAATATTCGGCGGCATGAGGCGACTCACGGTGACCCCAGAGTACAGTACATACGGCAAATTGCTTGCACGAAACCACCAGACACGTGGCAGCTCTATTATCGCCTCTGCCCCGCCTCCCTGGGCGCGTACAATTCCACACCTGCAGCACCTCCTTCCCCACCTCCCCGGCCTCTGTCCTCACGCCCTGCGTTCCCCGTCGCAGGCGGTACGTACAACATGCCTTCCCCTTCTCCCAGACCTGTCTTTCCTTCCCCCGCCCCATCTCCGTTGCTACCACCTTCACTTCCCTTCCCTCGCAAACCCGCACCCACGCCCGAACCCGCATCTGCACCTGCCCGCGCACCCGTGCCCGCGTCTCCCCCTGCACGGGAGCCCGCAGCCGCAGCCCCACCCGTACCAGCACCCGCACCTGCGCTCGCACCCCTCCCGTGCCACTTCTCTCTTCTCCCGTCCGCCCCACTTGACTCGCTCTTGGCATCCGCCTCCACGTTACTGTTTGCCTCGTCCCTCCCCACATCACCGTTCTCACCCGCAGCCGCACGTCTCCCTTCCGCGCCCTCGAAACTCTGCTTCATCTCCAACCCATCTCCTGACGTTCGAATAACGTCTTCCCCCCCCTCTGCACCACCTTCTCGCGTCTCCAGCTCCTTCCCATCCCGTTGCTTCTCTTCTACACCCATGTCCTCATCCGCTTTCCCCGATCCGCTCTCTCTTACGTTCTCCGATTTCGCACCCTTTTTCCCTTCCCTCTCATTGTCCTTGCGTCCATTCTCCATCCTGTCTTGTTTTGCTTCGTATTTCTCCTCAGTATAGACTCGCTTGTTGCTGTCCACCTCCATCGCGTCCTCGCTCTCCCTTACTCCATTTTCACCAACTCCATGTCCACGTCCTGTTCTCTTATCAGATGTCCCAACCAGTTCGACCTTCTTCTCTTCAATTTTCTTTCCCTCACGCACCATTTCCTCTTCTCGTCCCCGGCTAGTCAACTCCCGACTCTGCGTCACTTCTCTCCCTACCCCGTCCTCATCCGCCATTGCATTTTTGCTGCCAGTGCTTCCCAAACCATGTCCTTGTCCCCGTGACCAATCTCTCCATCCTGCACCTGAAGCCGTTGTGAGTCGAATCGACTCCACCCTATCACTTTGGTTCTCCCCACGACGTCTTGGCGAGTACTCCTCTCGTCCCAACGAGGGTACGCCAACCTTATTCTTTTCACCGTTAGTTCGCCCCATAGTCGACACTACCTTTCGCCGCGATGGGAAGTTCAAACGCTTCGGTCGCTTGCTAGACTTCCTCAGCGAACTAATGCACTGATCATCGTCCTCATCATCTGAACCTGCATAGTCAACCACTGTCTTGCGTCGGTGACTCTTATACCGCTGATCGGGATCTCTATTATCCTCCCCATCCCGAGTGTTTCGCAGAGCCACCAACGGCGATTGCCTGGGCGTGTCCATGAATTGCGTGCTTGGGGCAAAGGGCAGATGTCGCAGGTTCTCGAATATCCTCGCTTTCGTTTTCTGCAGCTCTTCAGGGGTGTTGTGGTTTTCCATGTTGCTCGGTGCGATGTGCAGGCGGAAATCGGGACCGTAGAATTCGTAGTTTTCGTTGTAGGGAAGCTCATCAGAGAGAGGTGCATCCACCGCCCGAGACGTTTCATATGCCCAGCACCTAGCCACATTCCTCACGGTGTACCCTCCTCCACCCAACAGCAGCAGCGGCACGGTGTATCTCTTGAAGAAGTCGACGCACTGTGAATGTCCGAACAGACTCAGATTGAAACAACCCAACCGATCTCCCGACAGAGAATCGGCCCCACATTGTAGTACGACGGCATTCGGTTGGTACCAATCCATAATTCGCGCCATAACCGGCACAAAAATCTCGCGATACGTCTCATCATTGATTCCATCTCGCAGTGGGAAATTAACCGAGTAATGTTTCCCTCGACCAATGCCCACGTCAGACACATCTCCTGTCCCAGGAAAGTAGTCTCCAAACTTATGGAAACTTGCAGTCATTACTCTGTCTGTGGTATAGAAGGCCTCTTCTACGCCATCGCCATGATGAATGTCAATATCCACATACAGCACACGCGGATGGACCTTGAGCAACTCGAGGATGGCCAGGACACAGTCATTAATATAGCAAAAACCAGAAGCCTCCGCTTTCTTCGCATGGTGCAATCCTCCCGCCCAGTTGATCGCAATAGAGCTATCACCGGAGTTGAGACGAGCGGCGCCTGCCAAGGATCCGCCTGCGGCTATCTGGCAATACTCAAAAAGGCCGTCAAAGACGGGGCAATCCTCGAGAACGTTAAATCGGCCTAAGGAGGGAATCTGCTCTGTGAGCATTTCAGGAGTAATAACTTTGAGAAAGCTGATATATTCGTCGGAATGGAAGCGGGTCATGTCGCGCTCTGAGGCTCTTGGCGCGGCGAGAACATCCATTTTGTCAAACAATTCGTAGGCAACGAGGAGGTTGTGCGTCATTCGCATGCGATGCGGCTTCATGGGATGGCCCTGCGCATAGTAGAAGTTGCCAACGTCGGAATCGTAGTAGTAGGCAACTTGCCTTCGAGGGGTGTAGGTCATGTTGACGGAGTGGTGAGCGGTGGCAGTGGAGGGCGGCGAGAAAGCTCTCTTTGCAGTTGACGCGAAAGACGAGACTGTAGTAAGACGAGGGAAACCAGGCGAAGTCTCGGGGACTGGGAACGAAAATGAAAAATTGTGATTTCACGGTTGGGTAGAGCAGCACAGCGATGATTGCTTCGGTTGAAGTGGTGAATGTCGCAGACGCAACAGCCGCAAGTACCAGCGAGAAAGACGGGCGGAAGGTCCTGCCTAATCCTGCAGAGAGCGAAACTTGAGCGCGACAGATAGAAGAAAGAAAGGAGCAGGCGTGCAAGTCATGCGGGAATAATGAGAGCGCTGGAATCGTCGCCGAAAACGTTTCGCCTCTGCGGGGCACGGCAAGGCAGCAAAACAGTAAGCGCTTGCGGCAAACCGAAGATCGCTGCTTTCAGAAACTGGGCCACTCGAAAGGGCCACTTTGCGGAGGACGACTTCCTAAACGCTATTCCGCTGTGGTCTCAGGTATATTATTTTTATATATTTCGAACTTTAGTGGCTTTATTTTGACTACTGACCTGTAAACATGCACCACTTGGATTTGCTGCCCATCCTTACCCTCTTCCATTGGCCTACTGTGGCAAAAACCCCGCCTCACAGCTGTTACACTGTAAAGCTGATTAGATAGCTTGATAGGTGCTCGTCGAGAGAACCCCTTTAAAATGAAACTCGGATTGGACACCTACACCGCAGTACAGTAATTAGTGTGAGCGCGGATTTACTGTGAGCGCTCAAATACTGTTATCCACACTAAATGTTGCGACGCCGCTGTCGCCGGCGGCAAAATTACTGTGATGTAGTGACAGCATGGGACCCTATATCAGAGGTTTAACGCTGTGCGGACGACGACGGTATGTCCACCCACAACATGGAAGGTTCTCCGGTTCTGGCCGCATTCGCACGACAATCGCAGAGTGTTGCGTCGGAGCCACAAGACAATGCAACCACTGCATCGCCAGCTCCCGCAAATAAGCCCCAATCGCCACCTCAAGGAGCTATTGCTCAAGGCGATAATATACCCCAGCGTAAACGACGCCTCCAACATGTTCTGACAAACACACAAAGCTTCGAAATTGTGCGTTAGATGATTACTGATGCTGAAGTAAACACTCCGAAAGGTCTCTGTGCACACACTGTCCGTCACTTCCCTAAATTTTTTAGGGGCGGCACGAATGCCAAGCGAGCAAGCCGTTATTGGAGGGATAGCCTCAATATTATGAGTGCTCATGAGCGTCACTCCAAGAACCACGGGCATACTTTTATGCGTCCCACTCTTCGTGAGATCACGAAACACTCTTCTAAGGCCCAATCTCGGCGTGGTAGGAAGCAGGCGCCCTGGGTTCGTGAGCTTTACGCCTGTTTAATCTCTGAGTTTGACCGCTTCCGCAAGAGTGGGGTTCGTTTTAACGCTCGGTTGTTGCTCACACTCGCACATTATGTCATTGTCGAAGATCAGGATGACTCTTTTGGCCCAACTACTCGTGACTCTAAGACAGGAAAGCTGATCACAGAGCATGTCAACTCACGATGGATATAGCACTTCATGCAATGCAACAACATCGTTAAGCGTTCTCAAACCGGTAAACTAATTTTATCAGGTGCCAAGATGAAATTAGGTCGAACGAGAGGTCTCTCAGCATCTTAGGGTACTTCATAGGGATTTCAGGGATGGAAAGCTGCAAGATGGAGATATTTTTAACGCCGACGAAACCCATTTTGTGATTAACATGCACTCTCACTCTACGCTTGCTAAAAGAGGGGAGGAGGAGGTTAAGTACGCTGACATTGTGAGCGGGGATGAGGGAATGACTATGATGGTCATGTTATTCGGTGGAGTCCACGGCATTGTCTGCACTCCATTCCTTATCTTCAAGAATGAAAAGTGTTCATACCCTATCAGGGCTGTTCCTGATAATGTACCTGGCGCCTGTTATCGTTCCGGGCCAAAATCGTGGATGGACCTTCGGGTTTTTCTTGAGTAGTTGCGTGAAAGGCGTGCAATTTCGCCGCTATCAAATGAAAGGGGACGAATTCTTTACATGGACAAGGTTGGAAGCCACGTTATCAATGAAGAAACGCACCGAGGACTGAAGAAACTGAACACGGAAGTCCGGTTCTTGCCGTAGAATGCCACAGACTTAGTTCAGCCGGCGGACAGCTTTGTCATACAAAAGATAAAATGTTTGTGGAGGGCCAAGTGGGACGACAAGAAAATGGAGCTTATCAGAAACAAAAGCTGGGCAGATCCGAGAAAGGGGTCATGTAAGCTAGTCAACCCTGCCAAGAGCTATTTCTTGAAGATGGCGGCAGACGTGGTGCGAGAGTTTAATTCCAAGCGCGATGAGGAAGGGCTATTGTACGCACAAAAGGCGATGGTACGCTGTGGGATGGCAACAAACGTCAACGGTTGGCGTGAGGAGCGACAGCTGTTCCCTTGGCTACAAAACATAATAGCAAAGTACAGAAATAACTTTGACGGTGAGCCTGTTTCCCGGGACATCGATTTAGCGAGTGAGCGAACTGGAACTGATGATGATCAATAAGGCGTCGATGCACTCACAGTATTTAGAAGTATCCTCACCAGAGTGAGTCACACTACATTAGCGGTCACAATAATTACTGTGAGGGCGATATTAGTGTGACTCACGCTAATTGTTGGGGAGGGCTCACGATTTTTTCCTGGGGAATAGTGTGATACAGACTAATTACTGTACTGGGGTGTACTTGCCGATGTCCGAAGGTACCCCCCCGATGGGCGTGGGGGACAGCCTGTCAGAGGTGAACACTAGATCGGCTAGTTCGTTCTGAGGAAATACCTCTCGTTGATAATCGTTGATGTTCGGCTAACCGAACATCAACGATTATCATTAATTATAAATTTATAATGGGTGAGGCTAGTCCTCTAAGCCCACTACACGAACTCAGCCTTTGGTAGAGTTCTAAAGTCTAAGCTGGTACAGGAAACCGCGGCTGAGTAGATCGGGTGAAAACCTGTCCATTTCCAAAACGACTGTACTGATGTGAGAGCGTCTTCTAGGATAGGACAGAGAACCCGCCGTGTACTATCTATATCTAACCCTTGGTCCGAGGAAAGCAAAGCAAGTAAGGCTGTGTGCTATGTGAGTAAATCCGCAACGCCATAGAAAACGGTCGCGAGCAGGTGCTGATGTTCGAATTAGCGAAGGGCGACGGGCAGCTAGCGAAAGGCAATACGCAGGAGGCGAGCGATGAAAGGACGCGACGCGAGGAGAGACAGTATCGCTATTGCGGAGGGAAGGTAGAAAGGAAGGAGGAATAAAGAAAAGGCAGAAGGCGTCCGAGAGGATAGGAGCCCAGCAACTTCATGCTGACTGCGTTGCTCTGTGCCTACCCTTTGCCCTCCCCTTTTTCGAACGCGCGCAATGGATCATCCCAAAGTTATGGGCCCAGGCGACCCTGCACCTCCCGCTATTTCGCTTGCTCCTGTAGAGCACTGACCGCCCGCTCAATCGCGGTGCTGTACTGTAATACCCGCGGCATACCACACTATCTTAAGTGACCTACCACGTGGATCCGTGTACACTAACCACCGGCCTCGTCCGGGTGTAAGCTCCATGGAGCCCTGTCGAAGTACTGACAGTTCTACCCACGTGTACCCGTGTTATCCCTCACGTTAATCGTGTCATTCCCCACGTGTCGTAGTTGTCATACCTCCCCAAGAGGAGTTTCTCCGGCCATCGCCGCCGTCGTTCAATTTAGTATTTTTTAGTTTAATTAATTATTGCTCCGACGTCGGCTAGTATATAGCCGACGTCCGACCCTAAGTAAAACGGTACGAAGCTTTGGGTCTACAACTCGGGTTTCTGGAACGGAGTCGTAGCCTCGCGTCGGTCCCCGTCCCACGACGGTACCCTGCGAGCCATCTACGTCCCGATTCCCTCCTGCCTCTACCGCGCGCGTCGTCCCGCCACGCTCGGCTCTCCGCGCGACAGCTGTCCCTACCGCTCCGCCCCTCCTGGGCTCTGTTTCTCCACATTTTCCCTTACTTTCCCTACTGCGCTTCGCGCCCGGCCCCGTACCGGTCCCTTACGGGTGGTCTCCCGATAACCCCCGACACGCGCCCCCGAACGCGCGCGCTCTGCCAGAGGGGGATCCCACACTTCCCCCTCAGTGCACGACAATATCCAAAGGCGATCTGGGATTCCATCCCAGATCAATCTCGAACGGAAAACACCCTAGATCATCAGAAATAGAAGAGTTGTACGCGAACTCTGCAGCCGGGAGAAGCGTGTCCCAATCATCTTCACGTAACGAACAATAGCAACGCAAGTAATTCTCCACCATTCTGTTCATAACCTCTGGCGAGCCATCAGTTTGCGGATGATGGCTCATTGACATCTGAGTGCGTATACCACATATCGACATCAAATGTGACCAAAACTTGGATGTGAACTTGGGATCACGGTCGCTCACGAGATTATCCGGCAGTCCATGGTGGCGAAAGATGTTGTGGAAAAATGACTCCGCCACTTGCACCGCTGTGTCCGTGTCATGAGACGGCACAAAATGTACCCGTCTCGAAAGGCGGTCGACCCAGGTGGCAATTGCATCAAATCCTCTGGCTGTCTTTGGTAGACTGACGATGAAATCGGTCGTGAACGATCCCCAGCGACTTGTAGGCACATCTAGCGGTGTGGGTTCAGTCAGCTTCTTCTTCTGTACCGTGTTCTTCTGCTACTGGCAAACAAGACATCCATGTACATATTTCTTGACGTCCCTAGTTTTGTTCTTCCAATGGTAAGCATCTAATCGGCGCAGCGTTTTTGCAAACGCAAAGTGACCCGCGATTTTGCAATCGTGTGCTAGATTCAACAAGTCACGGACACACCTGCGAGGAACACACACCTTGTCCTTCACATAAAGCAGCCCCTCATCCAAGCGGAGCAGCGGAAGTAAGCGAAGGACACGATCGCGCTGGACTTTAT